ACTTGTCCCACCTTTTCTTTTCAAGTCACCAATTTCATTTTTTTTTAAATGGAATATTGCAGTGTTTATTATAAAGGATTTATTCATGCACATCATTATTTAAAAAAAAAATCATGTGTCCTTGTAATCTTTAAATAATATAACTTCCCCTCCCCCTTGCAACAAAATTTTATTTATTTTTTGATGATGTGTGCAGTGATCTGTCACTCGCACGAGATCCCAGCAATAGCAAACAACGATCCGATCAATTCCCACTGAACAAAATCAAGTCCCGGTCTACATTTAGGGACAATAGGAGTTCTGGGTTATAATGGTAAATATGTCAGTCAGTCAATAAACTTATTCACTCTTTCAGTACTGCAGCTGAAAAACATAATATGTGTTAACATTATTTTAGTGTAAAAATATCACTGATTTTATTTACTTTAAATCCTTTAAAAATTTGCGCCATTAACTTGGACTCTAAATGTTTCACTGTAATCTTGATTTAAAAAAGGAACAATTTTTTTTCTTTAAATATCAATTTGGCCACCAACACTGTTGATTGAGCTAAACTTGCAAACATGAAGTAAAGGAATAGTTCACCCAAAAATGAAAATTTACAAAAAAAATTACTCATCCTCAGGCTATCCTAGATGTAGATGAGTTTGTTTCTTCATTGAAACCGATTTGGAGACCTTTTATCACTTTTTCACCAGTCCTCTGAAATGAATGGGTGCCGTCAGAATGGGAGTTCAGACTGCTGCTAAAAACATCACAATAATCCACACAACTCCAGACCCTCAATTAACATGTTGTGAAATGAAAAGCTGCAGGTTTGTAGTAAACAAATCCATCAAGATGTTTTAACCTTGCTTTCTCCAGTGAAAACGGTGTCTCGTCTGAATCAGGAGAGAAATATGTAGATTAAACACTGTTTACAAGTGAAGTCTAAAACTGTTCTAAACAAATATGTGGATTTTGCGGACATCAGAGATGGACACAAGGAAGAGTAATTATGGATTATGAAGTTTAATTATTTAATGGTCTGGAGTCATTTGGATTACTTGTAGATTACTTGTGATGTTTTTATCAGCTGTTTGATCTCTCATTGTGACGGCACCCATTCACTACAGAGGATCCACTGGTGAACAAGTGATGTAATGCTAAATCGATGAAGAAACAAACCTCATCTACATCTTGGATGGCCTGAAGGGTGAGTACATCTTCTGCAAATTTCATTTTTGGGTCAACTATTCCTTTAGATGACCTACTGTCCCCACTATGCACTTTACGTTTCATAAACTGCAGTTTTTTTTCTTTCACTGAAGAGGTAAAAAGAGCAGTGGATTTGATACCAAAGCCTAAGTCAACAGGAATACTGCCTGTGCCTGAAAGTTCAAAGGATGACTGTATCCGCTGTGCTGTTGTGGGCTCTGGTGGCATTCTCAATAACTCAAAGATGGGCAAAGAGATAGACTCCCATGATTATGTTTTTCGGTAAGAGTTAAAACATGTAAAAGTTTTATAATAAAATCACTTAGCTTAGTAAAAAATGGCTAGGGAGAGTTGACAACTGAATGAAAGAGTTATGTTAATGATAATGCGTGCCGATAACAGATTGCTTTACTGAGGTCTTTACTGTGTGTGTTCTGAAACAGAGTAAATGGGGCTGTTACTCAAGGTTACGAGGAGGATGTTGGAAATAGAACATCAGTTTATGTACATACAGCTTTTTCCTTATATGCCAACATTCTGATGTTAAAAAAGTACGGCTTTAACAGTATTCCACAAGATGAGGTCAGTATATTCTACTCTGGACTCTGTCTTAAAAAGCTAATATTCAGTACTGCTTGCTTGTGCTGCTGTGTTCTTCATTGAGAATTATTTGTATAAATACACTACACAATGTACACTACCGTTCAACAGTTTGAGGTTAAGATTTTTTTCGTGTTTTTAAAAGAAGTCTCTTATGCTCACCAAGGTTGCATTTATTTGATAAAAAAAATTGTAAATCTTTTTAATAGGGCATCAAATATGTAATGATCCCTGAAGGCCTGAGGGACTTTGAGTGGATCCAAGGCCTTTTGCAGGGAAAAGCAACCAATGGGTCATTCAAGGGTGTGAGGTACAGTATCCAGCTCTAGTTCTCGCAAACCATGCCATAATAGCATTGCAACAGTGGCTCCACCTCAGCATGATAAGGGGTGAAAATGTATTACTATGTTAATTGATTTGTTTAAAAAAAACATTTGCATTTATTCTTGCATAGGCCACTGAAATATTTCGAAGGGAAATTTAACGAGAGTAGATTCTATGTTCTTCACCCTGACTTTCTTCGATACATTCGCAACAGGTAACATTTATGTTACAGTAATCTACAACAATCTAAGTGTGATCTATCTCTTTTCAATGACCCCTGTTTTTTAAAAAACAGATTCATGCCATCCAAACAAATGCAGGGCATTCACTGGGCAATGTACAGACCGACCAATGGAGCGTTTGCTTTGTTCTTGGCTCTTCACACATGTGATATTGTAAGTAAACGCAGTAGTTATTTTCTATTCGTTCAGCTTATTCATCAAGTTGTTTGTAGCTATTTAACACTGGAAGTACTCTAAAATACTATTTTCTGTTATAATCTTATTGGACATATACAGTATTACTAATACCTTATGAATATTACTTAAATGCTTTATTGCTCAATATCAGGTGGACGCCTATGGATTTATTACAGAAGACCACCATAAGTACTCCAACTATTATTATGAAACGTTAAAAAAAACCAGTGTAATTTTCTTTATTAACCATGACTATGGCCTGGAGATAAAGACTTGGAAGAAACTGCATGACTCTGGAATCATTAGACTTTTCCAAAGACACTAACACATCAAAAACAGAAGAAGACTCTGTTCTGTCAACAGGTGTTATGGGAATACCTTTGTTGATGTTCGCTGTAAGAGAAAGTGTGCAGGAATCTCTTGGATTCAGCCCTGCTGAACTGGTATTTGGACACCAGGTACGTGGTCCTTTGAAGATGTTGAAAGATAAAATATTGGAAAACGATGTCAGTGCAAAAACAAATGTACTAGACTACGTGACAAAATTCAAAGACCGTCTGAATAAAGTTTGTTCATTAGCTAAAGAATCTCTGGCTAATGCACAACAAGGAATGAAACGTAACTTTGACAGAAAGGCTGTTACACGCTCTTTTATGCCTGGAGACTCTGTTCTTGTATTTCTACCAGTCCCCGGATCTTCACTTTCTGCTCGTTTCTTTGGTCCTTACGAGGTGAAAGAGAAAATTAATGAAACAAACTATGTGATCTGTACTCCTGACAGAAAACGGAAGACTCGTATCTGTCATGTGAACATGTTGAAATTTTATCATGTTAGAGTATCACCTGAGATAAACGCGGTGAAAGTTGTCGAATCACCTGTTATTTCGGTGGCAGCTGTGACAGAGATGACGCCTGTAATTGATTTAAATTTTGAAGATGATGGAGTGATTTTTCGAAATATTCCTCAAGCTACTGTGAGATTGACCAATTCTGAAATTTTAAAAGATCTTAGCTTGTATTTTAAAAACTTGAATGAACATCAGAAAAACGATCTTATTCAGCTTATTTCAGAGTTTCAGTGCTTGTTTAAGGATGTGCCAATGTTGACAAATGTTTTGCACCATGATATTGATGTTAAAGATGCTCGACCGATTAAGCAACATGCATATAGAGTTAATCATGTGAAGCGTTCGGTAATGCGTCATGAAGTTGACTATTTATTGGAAAATGGTCTCGCAAAACCAAGCTGTAGTCCTTGGAGTTCACCATGCATTTTAGTTCCAAAACCGGATGGTTCTTTTAGGTTCTGCACTGATTTTAGGAAAGTGAATGCAGTCACTGTGCCTGACAGCTATCCACTTCCTCGAATGGAAGATTGTGTCGATAATGTTGGTTTTGCACAGTTTGTAAGTAAGTTAGACATGCTAAAAGGCTATTGGCAGGTCCCGCTTACTGCTAAAGCTTCTGAAATCGCGGCTTTCGTTACTCCCGATTCATTTCTGCAGTACACTGCGATGGCTTTTGGGCTTAGAAATGCACCGGCTACGTTTCAAAGGCTTGTTAATCTGATTTTAACTGATGTGCCAAATTGTAGTGCCTATTTGGATGATTTGGTGGTTTATTCCAAAGATTGGAGTGAACACGTTAAGTCACTTCGAATGGTATTTGAGCGCTTGGCAAATGCCTTATTAACACTTAATTTAGCGAAGTGTGAATTTGGTCAAGCGACGGTAACCTATCTTGGAAAAGAGGTGGGGCACGGTCAAGTTCGTCCAGTCGAAGCGAAAGTGATGGCCATTTCAGATTTCCCTGTTCCTAATACTCGGCGAGAACTTCGAAGATTTTTAGGGATGGTTGGTTATTATCGAAGTTTTTGTAGGAATTTTTCATCTGTGGTTAGTCCTCTCACTACTTTATTAAGCCCTTCGAAATCTTTTGTGTGGAATGCTGAGTGTCAGTATGCGTTCGAAAGTGTGAAAGCGCTTTTGTGCAATTCACCTGTTCTACAAGCTCCTAACTATGAACGTTTTTTTCAGCTTGAGGTGGATGCTAGTAATGTTGGAGCAGGAGCGGTTCTTCTGCAGGAAGACGAACAAGGAATAGCTCATCCAGTGAGTTACTTTTCACGAAAGTTTAACAAAAACCAGTTAAACTATTCTACGGTTGAGAAAGAAACTCTAGCTTTAATAACAACACTTTAACACTTTGAAGTTTATGTTGGTTCTAGCGTACTTCCAGTTGTTGTGTACTCTGATCACAGCCCTTTAGTCAAAAATGTAAAAATGTACAATCAAAATCAAAGATTGACTCGGTGGTCTTTATTGCTCCAGAGTTATAATATTGAGATTAGACACAAAAAGGGAGCTGATAATGTGTTCGCGGATGCTCTTTCCAGAGTATAAACTTTTTTTTTTTTTACAAGAAGTTTAATCTTAAGTGGGGGAGTGTTACGGTCTGCGACCTTTTGTTTTGTGCGTGTATGTTATTTCTTTTAGTCTCTTCTCTGTTCTCGCTCTCATGCTCTTAGGTACCGCCTTCCTTGGATTCTATTGGCTATCTGTGCTGTCATTCATCATTAGTTATTTGACGACGCATTCCCTTTGCCAATGGCGTTCTTGTCCGAAAGGTTCAAAAGGAGAACGTCAGCGGGAAGACGGGGGTGATGTTTTGTATTGTGACTGTTGTGTGCGCTCTTGGGTTTTAACGGCTGGCGATGCTATGCCGCTGTGTGATCGGATGTCTTTGTCAGCTCGCCGCTGGTTTGGAAGACAAGGAAGGAGTGGAAGAGTTTAGGAAGTCACGTGACCTACATACTTGCACGTAGGGATATTGGATGTATAGACACACTAGTTTATTTGTGTGCGCTTGTCTTGTATGTTTTGCTTTTGCATATTCAGTGTAGTTTATGACGCTTTTGCGTTGAAGATTTTCTTTTTCTTTTTTTCTTTAATACTTTAGGGGTTTTGGGACTTTGCTAGATAATGGGATTTTTGTTCTGTTTTATTTTATGATTTAAGCGCCACTTTAACTTCCCTTCTTTTTTCTTTGTCTTGTTTGTTTAATTTGTTGTTCCTTGGGGGCAATAAATCTTTCTTGTAGTGCAGTTTTGTGTTATGTGTTCCATTGCCACTTATTTTACCTGGCTTTGTTCTTTAAAGTCAACTTAATGTTACCTCTTCTAATCCCTAGATAAAAATTATCATCAGAGACGTAACAATGGGAAAGACTTTCTCCTTGTCCAATTGCAAAGAAAATGTCCAATTCAAAACTAAAACTCAATATCATTCTGCATGATTTCTATATATAGATCACCTATGTTGGTTGCAAATGAATAGGGGAATAAACTTACACATAATAACTTATCTATTACTGCTTGTCCTCTGTAAAGTCGTGGTCCTTGGAAAACCTTTGTGTCTGTATAAGAGAAAGTACAACAACCTCCTCCACCTCTGCCATTGGAATTTAGCTTGAGCTCGCTTCATTCCAAATTAAGGAAAAGTAGGCGGAGAAGAAACTGCATACAAACCTCATTGGTTCTCGCATGGACCTTCTATTTAAATATGCAAACGTAACCAAATTTTGGAGAACTAGGCAATGTTTAGACGCTGTATGTGCACCACATTTTGACATCAATCCTTTAACGTGCATTGTAACCGCAAGGTTGACCTTTTTTTGTGATCAAATTACTGTAATTAAAACGCGCCAAACCCCATTTTTGGCCATTTGTCCTTATACCCCTCATTGGCCCTGTCCCAAATGGAACACTTCATGTGAACTTGCGGTCTTACGACTTACAATATATATATCTATGCTTACAATGGCCGCCGCGTGCACGTGTCCGTTAAGTCCACGACACCGTAAATTTAGCATTTAGATGGGTGCTCAAGAGCGCCCCCCCTTTTGGCCGTTATGTGCCCTCGATCCGCACTTCTGCCTTCTTTGTTCTTTACATTGACTATTTGGCTTTTACCTTACATTATATATATATCACAAATATATTATTTATTATTTGTATTATTTGTAATGTACTTTTTTAATTATTAATTTTAATAATTATTTGATTACGTTTATTGTTTTTATTATCATTATTTTGTTTTGATATGTTTGTTTATTTATTTTAAATTATTCGATTTCTATTAGTACATTTAATGTTGACATTTTTTACAATGGATTTCTGTGTTATAATAAGAACAGGTTTTATATATACAGTGTATATATATATATATATATATATATAAAATGGGTATTGTTAACATTATACTGTCTGTAATGTTTTAATACAAAAATCAAAACAAAACAAATAAACTTAAACTTCAGTTGCACAAATAAAAAATTCCATTAATTCATCATACTTGCCAAGTTACCCTAAATGGGCAAGTCAACCGGCTGGTTGACTAGTGTATCCGTTTAGTGAATGGGTCATCTGGGGGGAAAAAAACATGAAAAGTTGCTCAGTGTGGTGTCAGGAACACAATTTTAAGTAAATAATTTTTTGCAAATGAATTTCTTAGCCTGACTGTTAAAGGGTTAAATAATGCAAATGTCAAACAAACTTTATAAGTAAAACGTATAAGTTGTTGTGTGCGTCCATATCATGATAGACAGCTTAATGCGTGTTATTTTGTCGAAATGTTGCCTAAACAGGCAGCTCACTTGAGTCGTTAGTAATAGTCAGGCTCTAAACTCACCTGTGCGCATGCAAGTTTTCACCGAGGATGTTTCTCTTGAGGATATTCTTGGCCATAACACTTAACTTTACTTCTTCTGATTGTTTTTGTAACATTTTACACATTAGGCAATGTCACAGATTTTTGCAAAGAGTTGAGGCGCCTGACCCAACCAACAGTTCAGCTGTGACTGATGCAGAAGCAAATAGTGAGATCCTGAACCTCTTGGGACTCAATCAACCCTTGTACTAGTTATGGACAAGCACAACTATACGGCTCTGCCCCAGAGGAAATTTGATTATACATATTGATTGGATCCACAGTTTAAACAGTGTAAGTATAGTGAACAACAACAGTAACCAGAGAAAAGTTTGTGAACATCTAGCTAAATGAGGCTGAGATACAACCCGCTGAAAAGAAAACATATTAAACCATGATGATCATCATAACATAATTTGTTGTTGTTGTTGTTGTACAAATGTGGCTACAATTAATAATGAATAAACTTAACCAACTTTTTTCAAGATAAACATTATAACATAAACAATATAAACATTCCGTTAGTGGAATCTGGCGCAATACACGCGAGTGTTTTTGACACACCTCTTCACTCCAAATAAGGAAAAGGAGGAGGAGAAGAAAATGTGCACAAACCTCATTGGTTCTCGCCTCTACCACCTATTTAAATATGCAAAAATAAACGAGATGTGCGAACTAGGCAGACTGCGCGTGCTACTCTTATAAGACATCCAGCATAAACAATGTAAAATGCCGAACTTAAGTTTTTTTTTATTTTTATATAAAGGTGTGCGTTCATATCAGAGTGGACAGCCTAATGCCCGTGTCCAAGAAATGTTGCCTAGATAGGCAGCTCACTTGAGGCCTAATCAAGCTGTAAGCTCACAGGTGCGGTCGCGAGGATGTTTCTCCTGAAGATATTCTTGGCCATATCCCTTATAACTTTACTTATGTTTATTTCTGTAACATTGTACAATGGAAACTGCACTCTGAAGGCACGGTAAGGAACACACATTTACTAAATAGTTTGTTCAACTGATTTCTTCTACCAAAATGGTTCCGTCATGTAAAGCAATAACAGAAAGGAGTCTGATAACTCTACTACCCTTCTTCTTAGACAATATGATTTCTCACGGGTGGAGGAAGGCAATGTCGCAGATTGTTTGCAGAGAGTTAAGAAGACTGAACCAACAACTAACAGTTCAGCTGTGACTGACACAGGAGCAAACACTACAATGAGCCCTGATCCTCTTGGGACTAAATCAACCCTTTTACCAGTTATGGACAAGCACAACTTTACCTCTCTGCCCCAGTGGAAATTTGATGATACATATCGGTTGGATCCACAGTTTAAACAGAGTGTAAGTATAGTGGACAACAACAACTAGAAAACTAATGTGGCTGACATGGCCTATGGAAGCCCGTTTCCGCCACTGAATAAAAAATAAAATTGGCAAGGTAATTGCGACTTTTTATCTCACAATTCTGACTTTTTTACCCTCAGAATTGCGTATATACTCGCAATTGCGAGACATAAAGTCGCAATTCTGATAAATAAAGTCAGAACTGCGAGATATAAACTCACAATTCTGACTTGTGAGATAAAAAGTCGCAATTACCTTTTATTTTTTATTCAGTGGCGGAAACGGGCTTCCATACGTGGCTGATGCTTCCCTGCTGAAAAAGAAACGCATCTTAAACCAGCCTAATGGATTTCTGGTTTTCCAGATTTCTGTTAACTGGTTTTACAGGGGTTTTTAACTGTTGGTCATTTCGTCATTGATTAATTTTGGACTTTTTAAAACAGGACATACATATTTTTTTTCGTTCTGTAAGCATGGGTACAGTTAATAATAGGTAAAAGCAAACGTGACCAATTTCTTTTTTAGATAAACATAAAGCCTACTGCATCATGTTTGATACATGAAATTTTAGGACTCTAAATGATAAACATGATTAAAAATGGGCTGAAAAACACAATCTACTACATGCCTTCTGATAGTTTTTATCTTTTGCAAGTAAAAGGCCTTTTAGTGTAATTCTAAAAATGTCCATATTCAAGTCATGGTAAATGTCTTTTTACAGCCTAATTTTTCAATGATTTTTGCAAAGAAAATGTAAAAACTTTTGCATTGTTAGTAATATCTTAAAATGAACATTTACTGGACTGACGCAACTTACTCCATGTGTCATTTCTCCCCCCCAGAAAACGATACAACCCCATTTTCAAAAATGGTGGGACATTTTGTAAATTGTTCAAAAAAAATCTTTGATTTGGTAATTCTATTTAATTCTCTTTCTCATTTGTTAATCCTTATTTAAATGACTAAACTACAAAGAAAAGATTTACAATGTTGTACTGATCAACTTAATTATATTAAATTGTAAATGAAAATAAATGTTGATTTTGATGGCTGCAACACATTCTAAAAAAGTGGAGACAGGTGAAATAAAAGAGAAATGTTTATAGAGTATCCAAGTTAAAAAATGTTAAACATTCCAAAATAAGCAGGTGAATTGGTGATAGGTGAGGGTATCTTGCTAAAACGTAACAACTGTACCAAACAGCAGATTTTTGCTTAGTTTGGGCTCTGAATAAAATTGAAATAATTTTTTTTCCCTCAAGCATGATCACCATATTCTCACTATATCATTCTACATGAGCCATAGAAGCCTGATATGATACAAAACGTAAAACATTGCAAATTTTCTAACTGTTGTTCATTTGTCAGGCTTTACAGGGTTAAAGACGTTTTCAATATGTTTTTCAGAAATGCACGGTATCCTTGCGAAATTCCTCTAATCCTGTGTTTAAGGAGAAGTTTATTCCAAACATTCAGCTGTTTTCACAAAGTGATCATCTCAACATGAGTGAGTGGAACCGACTTTATCACTTCAACAACCCCTTTGGCTATATGGGACTAAATTACTCAGGTTTGTTTAATCTGAAAGCATAAATGTGATAATGTATATGGTTTATTAAGACATGGTTTTAGAACAATGCACTATTTTTATTTTTTATAGCCACAAAAGCAGCTGTTGACACCATCCCTAAACTAGCATCTACCCAGCTACTACAAGTACCCATAAGAGCAAAGGATGGCTGTATTCGCTGTGCTGTTGTTGGGACTGGCGGCATTCTCAATGGCTCCAGGCTAGGAAAGGAGATTGACTCTTCTGATTATGTGTTCAGGTAAACTGAAAAGTTTGCTTGACATATGAAATCAGTCAAAGTTATGTGTACATCAGGATATTTTGTCAAAGCTTTAACTTCTTAAAGTCGCAGAAGGAATCACATCACACCTATCTTGCGTTCATTGCACTGGTTACCGATTAATTATCGCATCCAATTCAAAATTCTGCTATTCGTGTACAAAGCTCTAAACAACCTGGCTCCTCCATATCTCTCTGAGTTGATTATAATACACAATCCAGCTAGATCACTCAGATCACAGACTAAGCATCGGCTTTTGGTTCCTAGAGCTAGATTGAAATGCAGGGGTGACAGAGCCTTTGCTGTTGCTGGCCCCAAGCTATGGAACAATTTGCCATTATCCATCAGAATAGCTTCTTCAGTGCCTGAGTCTAAAAGGCCTTTAATAACGTATCATTTTTCCCATGTTTTCAATGTTTTGTGACTGTGGTTTTCCAAAGACGTGTTTACTCTATTGTGTGATTGGATCAATGTAACTGTGTACAGCACTTTGGTATACTAAGGTTGTTTTAAAGTGCTTTATAAATAAATTGAACATTGAACATTAAAGGGCTAATTCACCCAAAAATGAAAATTACCCCATCATTTACTCACCCTCAAGCCATCTTAGGTGTATATGACTTTCAACTTTCAGACAAATACAATTGGAGTTCTATTAAAAAATGTCCTGGCTCTTCCAAGCTTTATAATGGCAGTGAATAGGGGTCAAGATTTTGAAGCCGAAAAATAGTGCATCCATCCATCCATAATAAAAAGTACTCCACATGGAGGATAATTTCAATATAAGCCAAGAGGAGACTGGTTTTTCTTGTAAACAAAACTTGGTTCTCACGAGACTAGCATATTCTCACTGGAGCTTATGCTACGCCTGCATTACATGTCATCTGCTGGAACGCCACTCTCTCGTGAATGTGGAAGCTAGAGATTACGATTTATAAAGTTTTAAATATGGATATTTTTCTTACACAAACTCATCAATTCACTTCAGAAGGCTTTTATTAACCCTCCAGAGCCGTGTGGAGTACTTTTTTAAAATTTATTTTTATGATGGATTGATGCACTACTTTGGACTTTAAAATCTCAACCACCATTCACTGCAATTATATATCTTGAAAGAGCTAGGACAGTTTTAATGTTGGTAATTTTCATTTTTGGGTGATCCTTTCCTTTAGTCACTTGTTTGTGTCTGTTAGGGTGAATGCAGCCATTATAGCAGGCCATGAGGAGGATGTTGGGAAAAGGACGTCCGTTTATGTGCACACAGCACATTCCTTAATCCAGTCCCTCATGGTACACAAAAAGAGAGGTTTCAAACAGATTCCTACTGACAAGGTGTGTCTATGCTATCACATGTTCCTATATGTGGGCTACTTTGGCTAAACCTCTGATAGTTTTTCTTTTTAAAATTTTTTTATGGAAGGACATTAAATATGTTCTAATCCCTGAGGGTCCAAGAGACTACAACTTTCTTGAGTCCCTTATGAAGAATAGAAGAATACCATCAGGAGCATATCGTGGACGAACGTAAGTCATCCTAACAGAAAAGTAATTATCAATCAATGTTTGTGATCATGAACCAGTAGTGCAAAATATACAGCCCACTTGATCATTCCTTATGGCCCACAGGCCAAGAAACCGAAAAGTTGCCGAATTAACCACACAGAGTTGCAGTTACCAAACGAGAAGCTCCACACTTTTTTTTTTGGAGTGTACATACACTGGCAGCTCCGAAGGCTGCTCAAAATGCCATAGGGTTTTTACATAGGGTCTTTATCTTATTTTTAATTTAAATAAAATGCAGTTTTCTTACCGGCCAATGGTGATTCTGAAATAAACATGCCAGGATCCTACTGTTAGGTATGTACTAATAGGGAAACTACTACTGTAACGAACACAACTTTTATGCACATGAGATTGCCAGATAAACAGAGCAGTCTTATTTCGGTGTTCTTATTAATGTTGTGGTGATTTCAGAAGTTAGCTTCGCACATTCAATTTAACATCAAGTTAAAGACGGCGAACTTTATCATTCAATTTTAGACACTTAATGTATATTCTTGCTGCATCAGCGTAATAAATGCACAACCTTCAATGATTATGGATACACAGGTGTATCCTATGCGGAAGTCTTTCTTGTTGCAAAAACTGATACACACATTCTCCTCCCCCTTTACATTTGTCATAATTTTAATTTATGTTTTACCTTCACAGTTTAAATAAACCTTACATCTCATATATTTCAACAGGGCATTTTGCTCTGATAGTAGTTATGCATGTCTTAAACTTTAACAATATAAGGCCAGATCCCATGAGTGCAGCTGATGATGCTTTGAAGTGACACTTGAGTGATCAAGAATATTCTAATATGCAAATGAGCTTTCCTTTGACTCCTCCGTCCTCTTTTTCTTTCCTTGCATCCTTCCCTCACATCATAAGGGGGGTGGAGAAACAAGGATGCACAAACAAGAAATGAGAAGCACCCTTAGATTCATGTTTTTTT